TCCGGTGTGCACCTCACTCATTGCTGGGTGATCTGTGCCAGCATTGGTGACACTGTCTATGCCATCGGCTTCTCGACCTTCTTCCCAAGCCCTAGCTTTGGCAAAGGCATGGTATCATCAACAAGAGTGGGGCAGATGGCCCTGCTCCTGCTAACAATGGCTACTCAGGAGGCCCTGTCCTGGACTGCTGTGGACAACTTGTGGGCATTATCAAGGGGTCCATCAGTTCCACAATTATCCAAGTTGGCATCACCCCGGCTGCAGACCTGCACACTGTCTTGTTGCAGTGGGGCCAGCCTGGCCTGGCCCTGAGGTAATCCATGCTAACCAAAGGTCAGCTGGGATGCAGGACTGGCAGTCAGCATATGAGAGGCTTGCAGGGGTAGCAGGTACCCAAGGGGTTGTGGGGTGCCTTCCATTGCTAAAAGGGAAGTTGGTCACTAGTGTACAATTGCCTGGTCAGGATATCATGCTGCATTGGTACTGTGCAGTCCTCCTGTTATGCCAAGCATACTTGTATGTTAGCTGAAGGTGCAGTTCATGGGGAAGGAGCATGTCAGGCATTTGTGGGTTGGACAGTTGGATGGTGAAATGAGTCATGAAGGGCCCTGAAGAGGATCATAGATGCCAAGGCGGTTGTGGAGGTGCAAAAAGTGGTTGTGAGGGTGCCAAATGCAGTTGTGGGGCCAAAGGAGGATAGGGTGCCAAAATGGGGTGTGGGGTGCCAAAGGGGGGATCGTGAAGGGGGGACCGATCACAGGGCCAAGCAAGATGCCAATGATTCAAACTGTAACCCAAGGTGTGGTTTTAGAGGAGAATTTTTGAGATGCATGTGGATGGCTCGGTGGGAAAACACAGCGAGGTGTTGCAGAGCAATTCAGATATGTGGTTGACAATTATTGACAGAAGTCTTTTTGGGCAGGACCCTAGCATGAAGCATCCACACGTACCCTACCCTGTAGGATTGAACATGTGGCTGTATGGCCATGTGTGGCTGTGTGTAACGGATCAAACATAATATCTCGCCTGGCTGAAGCTGTTAAGTATATGCGTCGTATAAACAAAAGTAAACATGTGTAGTATATTGTATTCTTCAAAGGAAAGGTATCCCGTACTGAGGGGCTTTGGGGAAGTGTATCGAGCTAGGCTTTGAAGAGGGCGCCAAGGGTGCATGAGCAGAAGCCAAGGGTACATGGACAGGTGCGTGAATGAGCAGGTCGATGCCTGAAGAAGCACTATAAGCAGTGTGTACGGTGCTGTTTTCCATGTGTGTTTGGGCTGTGGCACTAGACTGCAAGCACAACAGGCTGAAGGCTGGCAAGCTGTGATTGTGTCTGCTGAGCATTGAGCATCTGGTCTAACTGTGGACTTGGTGGCCGAAACCCTGCTGTGTGCTGTTAATGGCACCTTAAGCTCATATGTTTACACCCAAGCAAGGGACTGTTGATGGCAGGTCATGAACCTCCTGACTACATGTAACAGCCAATGACTCTTAGCTGTGTCTGCTAGATTCCAGAGAGACAGTGTCTTCAACAGGTTATCACCGTAGCTCATATGTTATGAGTGGAGGACTATCCCGAGTTCACATCACCGTAGCTCATATGTTATGAGCGGAGGCCTATCCTGAGTTCACCTGTCCGTGCGTCCATCTGTCCGTCCGGAGTGTTTTGGATAGGGAAGGAGAGGGAAGAACGGGGAAGGATATATGAAGTACGGAGAGGGATAGGAAGCCGCACATTGAGTGTACCAAAGCGTGGAATTCAATGTGCACCGGAGCACGCAGTTCAATGCACAATTTTCAATGCTGCTGGTGGCCGTTACCAGTTGTCAGGGGTTTGGATGGCAGGCGAGCTCTTTTTACGCTGATCACCTTGGCGGCAGAGCAGCCGCAAGGGAAAATCCTTGCTTGGATTTTGGGACAGGGATGCTGTGCCAGAACGAGGTGCACCTCTTCACATGCGTGTATAGCCCTATGAGTGGCACATGATGCGAGTGAGTGGAGGTTGTAACATTGTTTTGGGTGGGGCCATTTCAATCCCAGCGATAGGGATCGCTGGTGGACGCTATAGCCCCGATGCAAGGATTGGCGCTTGCTCCGATCTGGGTCCGATCTGGGATCCCACCAGGGATGGCATGTTTTAGGACTGCGGGTTCCTTTCCTTAATGTTCGCTGGCTGCTTGCTACATCGGGGCCAGTTCTTTGACTGACCTTGTTATTGCCGCTTGGCAGGTAGATATATACTCTATATAGATATGATGTACATAAGTTATAGTATGTATGTATGTTGTTACAGGGTGGTTAACTTCACCAGCGGCCCCTTTCCTGGGCAGTCCCTGCTCTCCCCTGCTAGAGGGGCACCCTAATCCGTCACCCCATCCGACTTCAGAATGTATTCGTTGGGTTCGGCAACTCACCACCAGCATCCAACCAAATCTAGCGGATCAACGGTGCATCAACTTAGTTCCTGGTCAGCTCACAAGTTGATTTTATCACATCCTACATCGTCCATCACTATATATATATAACTTTTTTTTAATGTTACAGAGTGGGAGGCTTCTGGGCCGCTTTATCACATTGTCAGTTCTACGATTTTATCACCTTGTAGCACCATCCACCACTACCACACTGTACTTCACCATACGAACGAGGCGCGGGACCGAAGGGACCGAGGGTGCTGTCATTCGGGTCCGGACAGGTTCGGGTGCATTCGGGTGCGTATTGCAAATGTGTTTTATAAACACAAAAAACATTTAAACATGGAAATATTAAAATGTGAAAACCATCACAGGATTCAAACATGCTGCCCAGCAAGTGCTGGCCACCCCTAGGGATGGTTTGTCATGCTGAGATAGCACGCCTGGTTTTACACCGCGGGAAGGCGTGAGGGAGGTGATGGCCATTAGGTGCCGGTGATGGCCATTAGGTGCCGGTGCTGGGTGCACGGCGCGCCTCCAGCTGTTGTGCCCACCGGAATTTGTTCCGGTAGCGGCGGTGCGTGTCGGCTGCTGTGGCGTCCAGCAAATGCAGTTCGGCGGCTAGGTCGTCGGTCAGCTTGGTGGTGCAGTGAAAGGCGGTGATGACACTGCGGTGTTCGGTCGGGGTGGTGTAGAGTGGGCATAGGAGGTGAATGTCATTGAGGGACTTGAAGCAGGTGAGGAGGATGAAGAGCATGGCACGCTTGATCCCTTTTGGTGGCACACTGAGGTGATCCCTTTTGGTGGCACACTGAGGTCGACGACCCAGCACTCATGGAATGTTCGGCCTTGTACCCAGTGGTCTGTGACAGTGAACCAGTCGCCGAGGCCAAAGTTGATGTGCTTGATGGCTTTGGGTGCGGTTGATGCGCTTGATGGCTTTGGGTGTGGTGCCGGTGTTGGTGGTGGGCATCAGGATGGTCGCAGGCTCCTTGCTGGCATGGGGTCAGAGCGCAAAAGTGGCACCGTGACTGGCAAGGTCGTGCAAGCCCTGCAGGATCATGGTGGGGCTGTGACCATGCATCGGGCACTGAGTACGGTGGCGGGGAGGTACTGTAGCTGCCGGTATGGTCTGGTGCCGTCATCCGGTGGTTCCCGCTCATCTGTTAGGAGGCCACACGCTTCAACCTCGTTGTTATGGAACACGCCGGCTTCAGCACAGGTCGTGTCCAGCAGAATGTAAGGGGCACCTTCGTAGTACCATGTGTCCACCATGGTGTGATCGAATTTGGCATCCTTGACACGCATGGCAACGGCCTGCTCTACACGGGTGAGTGGAGCCAGTGGGGCTGTGCCAGGGGGCTGGTGTGGTACATGGTCCGCATTCCAGACCACCAAGTGTATGCCCAGGTGCTGCGCTTGCAGCATATCATGAGATGCGTGTTTAGCGCGTGCCTCGGTTCGTTTCGTTGG